CTATGGCACTGTTAATTTTGTCGACTATGTATATTAATAATTAGTTGAGAAAATTAATAGCGCCATAGCGATTACATAGAATCAAAAAACAAGCGAGAAAGGACGAATCACAGGACACACATTTTACAAAAGCGAGACCACCAAGAAATAATAACTATAACGTACGATAATAATAAAAACGATAAAAACTAACCGCAAAAGCCGCAGATATCGCGTTGTTACCGTTAACATGCTTGACAATCGATGATAATATATACATTTTTTAATTAGTCTACATATCTAAAGTGTTGTAAAATTATATTGCACATACATGAAATTATAACCATATGTGATCATTTTTTGATAAATAATTGAATTAGTTTACACATGAAGTATTGTTGAATTAGGGTACACATCTTACAAAAGCGAGAATACCAAGAAACAATAACTATAACGTATGACATAAGATAAGAACTAAAGCCGCAGCTATCGCGTTTGTTAACATGCTCGATAATCGATGATAGTATTTTTACTTTTAATTATTGTTCTCGGAAAATGCGTGTATTGATCGAAAAATAACGATTAATATCTAAATATAATTTACGAATTATTAATTTTTAGTCGTAATCTTATGCGTTACATCAGTTTGTTATAATTGAAGGATAATTGAAGTGCAGCAGTTTAACACTTTTTCATTAGAGCGAGTTTAAGCGCGGGCGATAATCAAATTTTTAATGCTTTGTTTGCGAATGATTCTCCGTTCACAAAGTCGATATTTTATGAACGGTATAGAAATTGTCGTTTATTAAAATTTAATAATTAAATTGATTGAAAAATTTATGCTTTGCTTAAATTAAATTTGTATTTCTTAGATTTTTAGAGGTACAAAAAAGATTGCGGCAAAGCAGTAATACAAACAAAAGAGTAGAACGGTTTTAGTAGGAAGGAGGGTCATCAAAAATTTATCTGCTGACATAGCAGTTCTGCAGATGTTCTCCTGTCGAGTGCATGCTCGTGCGAATTTCAGCGAAATCTAGCACGTGTTCTTCCGTTATATCACGCTATGCGAGCATTATCTTTTAGTTATGTAGTGTTCAGTTATATAAAGTTACATCTATTGTAAGCAGGAATTAAACAGAATTCGATTTTGTTCTTTCGAGTTATCGCGTTAATGTTTGCTTCGTCGAGATAACACGTAACGCTCGTTAGTTTCAAAATACAATGTTCATGTCGCCTGACGATGTGAAAAGTTGAGTGATATTTTATTACTTCATATTTTTATTAAATTTTGACGGTAAAAATGATATAAATATAGTTGTGTCTTATTTCGTACAATTCGAAAGTATCGTCCAGGCTTTTTAGATACAAATCGTTTCTTGGAGATGTGCTTTTAGACACCTAGATATTTTCCTCGTGATTCATCAACTCTTCCTTCGTGTTGTCAGCATTCCAAATTTTCTTTCGTAGGAATTAACTTGACCTAATACACATTCTAAGAATTTGCAGCAATATAGCGCAGTGCGTTGCACAGTTAAATGGGCAATGACAATTACAATCCGAGATTATATTCCTCTTTCTAAGAAGATTCCGCCTCTGAATTTTTTTTCTTCTATCTATATCTAACGTGACATATACCAGCTACTTTGCGCTTTAAATAAACGCTGAAGAGCTCAATGACATGACGTGGCATGAAGTAACTTTTAAAGCAATGTAAGTTTTCTTGATTTATATAGACTATAATGAACCAGCCACATCGGCTGGTCACTCGGTGCACGAGGGAAAAATGCAGAACGATTAGATACGATCGGCAGATAATCACTGCACGGTCGATTACCATTCGATTTTATGACCCAGAGTGAAACCCAGAGAGAGACCAGGGCAGCCCAGGGTCGCCGCGTTTGACCCCACTTTGCCACATCCTATTTAGACCACTTACGAATCATATTAACATACCACGTTGCCGCACGGTATCTATGTAGACTCGGTCGCGATAAGTGACGGGACCTTATTCTTCAATTAATTTCGATTTTGTTGATTTTGTCGTGACAGACACCGTAAATCCGAGCAGCTCGACGAGCGCTGGAATACCTGATCGCCGGGATGTATCGCGGATATATAAAAGTCGCGCCAAATTATGGCCTTCGCGTCGAAGAGAAATGTAGTCGTCTGTCAGGTCTTGTCCGGTGACAGTTTATACGGCAAAAAAAAGAAACTGGTTATTCTGTGCACGCACAGGTGATACGGCGTCTTTTTAACGGCGAGAGTAATTCCAATATTAAATTACTAATTGGCAACGTGGTCAAGGCACGCATACAGCCGCTATGACTCAGAGAATTTCTGCTTCGTGCTCCGAACATATAATTTACACAGTCATACCGCAATTGTGGCTGCAATTGTCTGATTATTTCGCATAAGAATCTACAATTCAGCTTTTAATTAAATTATAATTATTCTCTTTGAAGCATTTGGGAAGGTTTGGCAAAATCGAGAAGAGTTTTCATCAATTCAGTCTTTTCGTTAAAGAACTTAAATGGGCGGTGCAGCTTTTATCTTTTCCTTTTTTTTTTCAAGCGTGCTGCACGTGACATCGACACATTGTTATCGCATACGATGAGGTCCGTTGACGTGTTTCGCATACGAATCGCGAGGACGATAAATCCCGTTATCGCTCGTTCGCGTCCGAGTTGGGCCTATCGAGCTATCGTTTTCTCTTTTTTTTCTGGCAAACAGATTTTTCGCCCCAGTTGAAGCGTGCCGTAAATTAAACGACATGCGACGCGCAGACGAGGGTGTGTCACTTCATGGACGAGTGGCCCCGTTCGATTAAACGCGAGCTCGCGTCGTGAGTTTCAATTCTATTCGGGCTCTTCCTGTTGCAGCGAGAGGAGTGCGGAGAAAGCAGCGTCGGGGCACGTATTGTTTTAAGCCGGAAATGTTAAGTCTAATACGTACAATCTGTTTAAGAAATTATTTCGATCGCTATACACTTCGTTCGATCTATCGAGTCGCTATCTAACAATAAAATCGGTATTTCTCGCTGCTGGGATAGTGTTTGATAAATTCTGGAGTCGGAAGAGTCATCCCTGAAGCTGAGGACCTCAAAAACGTTCAGATATCCCGGCATAAGCGGATGCATTTAACTTGGCCTGCCTACGTGCGACGAGAATTCTGCACTCTCGCTCTTAACTCATGTGACGACCCGATGACGTCAAATGTATGAAGAGAGACTGTGATGTCATCGTATATTTTTAAAGACAGGCGAGAGATCCGACCACCTCCCGGCTTTGTGATTTCATGCACGTTTTCATCTTTTTCTTAGCCGGCTGTTTATAAATACCGGCGTCACTGACGATTTGCTTTCCTTTCATTGAATTCGCGCGAAATTCTCACGAAGTTGAAATTATTTGCCCGAGAGAGCACATTTCTCGCGTGATTTATGCTGGACGTATACCTAAACACTTTCGGGTAATTACGACATGTGTCAAGAGAGTTTCAATGTAAACAGAAAGTAAGAAAGTTTTGAAACGAATTATTTCTGAAAGTTAGTCGTAATTATTTAACAAATCAAATTTCTATCAAAGCATCTGACCGATATTATCCAAAAGTGATATTTACGTGCGGGAGATTTTTAATTTAAAGCTTATTTCTCCAATGTTGAAAAATTTTCTCGCTATTAAATTAATTTTCATCTCCGGAAATAGTTGTCTCTCAACTTCTCTGTAGATAAAAATCGACTGCGTTGGCGTCCGCCATCGGAATCCGCGGCTGACGGGTAATTAGTTCGTCGCACTCTCTACATTCGCGGAATGAAAAATTCCGTTTCGCGCCAACGGGACCGGATAGAGAAACGCAACACCACGTGTTTTAGCTTCCCGTGTACGTTTTTTCCTTCTACGTACACATCGTTAGGTCGAAACGAGCGCGGTCTTCGCACGGAACGAGCCTGGATTCGGTGCAGCGAGCGCAAAACGGAGGTGGATTATTAGTTCTGCCTCTCTCTAAATATTGAGACTGCGCCACGAGGGAACACGCACACCCCCGCCTGACATTTCATGGCGATCTGGAGGCCACGCGCGTAACGGCCACCACCAGATATGCCACAATTTATCGTGGGACGCGTTCAAAACAACTCCGATAACTCAATAAAGGCACCATATATTCATCGCGCCTTCTCGTAGTTGAGTCATCGATCCGAACGACTGAACAGGGTGAGCACTTGTTCCAGCACGAGTTTTCATTCATCCGCTCGTCAAGAGTCGCGGTCAGGTTTTTTTTTAACCTCCTATTTAATTACTCTTATCTTATGGCATACGGACTTTCGCGATGTATGCATGTATACATGGAAGCACAGAAGTGAAAACGCTCAATTCGCTACTATATAACAATTGTAGTAAGAACGATCGTGCAATTTGTGTCGCCTGGCGAAATAAAAATTATGCTGCTCGGACTCGGTCGAGATAGTCATTATTCGCGTAATGAAGTAACGAAGAACATAGTAATATAATGAAGAAAGCGTGATGCAGACGCGACCGCAAGGCGCCGATTAAGTTCTATCTGAAATCGGACGGCTAATGAATAATACATGCATTTACGTTATTCGTATACGTACATGAATATTCGTGTCAAAACACATCGTGCTCGTGTTTCGGCCGACGTGTTCGTTCCGATCGATCGCGATATTAATTCGCGACACGTACAAATCGAACACGATGTGTGTTACAAATGTAATCTACGGGCATTGACAAACACGTGCACATGAATGTGCAAAAATGAGTCATTTTAGTTGATTACTGTATTATATATATATATAAAAAAAAAGAGAAAAGTGCGAAGAATCTTTTTTTGCGTTATCTAACGACCATTATTCGAAAAATATATACCGCAAAGAGATAGACTTTCGCAGGTATACTAAGCTATCTAAGCCAAATTATCAGAACACGAAAAATTTTATATGGAATTAATTTGCTAATTATTTGCTATTATTTGCTTCTAAAAGTAATTTTTTTGCTCCAGCTATTAAAAAGTTACGAAGGGCTGGATAGCTTAAGATTAAGCTGTCCAGCCATTGTACAAAAAAACATACATAAGTCAAAGCAAAAAGTTAATAATACCAAAATTATTTGCTATTTTTTGCTTGCAAAAATAACTTTTTGCTCACACTATTAAAAATTTACAAAGGGCTGGATAGCTTAATATACCTGACTTTCGCGTATTTAAGGTCCGATTTTTAGAAACTTTTATTTAATGTATATAAATAGATATTTGATATTAAACATAATGAATACACGATATATAAATATCGAATGGATATTAAATAGAAAATAATAAAAGACAAGTTGATTGATCGTTAAACAACTTCTTATTTAAAAACTATTATAGCCTCAGCACTTTAATAATTTTATCTCAAAATGACCTCAGGAATATACCATAAATTTAAATTACACGCAGTCTGAGTTAACTGCCCTGCTCTTTATATATATATATAAAATCTGCCATTTAGTTTTGTAATCAAAGCTATCTTAGATCCGGTCATCGATTCGTTGAGAATCGGATTATTCTGGACTTAATCCAAATCGTTTCATTGGAGAACGCTATTAGACGCGCTGTCTGATCTTCTTTCTGAAGGCGAGCATTGTGATGCACCCTTTCAGCCGGCGACAGGTGCGTTACGTAACCGTTGAAAGTTAACGTACGCTCCGAGGAGAGCCGATGATCAAGCGAGTGGTAGATGCGAGTCGCGAGTTGTTGGCATAGGCAACTCGCACTCGAAGAAATCTTAAATGATCGGCACGCAGGTGCCGATGACTCATACAGTGTCTTCTTCCTGTTATTTTTAGCTTGCGTCTCTCGTATCCCCGCGGGAAAAAGTTCACGTCGTTAACAATTGTTCTATTTAACATGTTGCTTGCCCGGCAAATTTTGTACGTCTTACCGTCATGGTATTATAGAATTTTCGTTATTATAAGCTTAAGCATAATGACAAAACTTGTGCAATATGATTATCTTTATTAGCAACATGTTACATAGCGCACTTAATTATTATCTAACTACATGTATTATGCAAAATTTTATATTAAATGGCATATATTATTTAGTGTTTCAAAAAATTTCGATACTGCTTTATAGAATAACAGCTATTTAATTTCTATAACTTCCCGATTGTCACTCTAGTATACAGAATAAAGCTATCGGGGTAAAATGAAGTGTTGTTTATCCTCATTCTTTGAAAAATATATATTCCAAATAAACAATTTTTCTAAAGATCTGAATTCTTTATCTTGTTATCTTAGATAATAAAACATTAAAACCATGTTGTAATTATTCTAATTAAAGACACAAATATTATAGAAAAAAAACGACCGTTTAAACATATATACATTTACTGCAAGGCTATTATTTTGCTATAAAACAGTAGAGATTTTGTTATGCGTGACTGCTCGCGAATCAATTACAATATTCTTTACATCTGTTTCTCGGTTATTGTCGCATACCAGATTGCGAGACTGGAATGGAAAACTAATGATCCGCGAAGGAGCACATTTCAAATGGCTAACGCTGTCTGTTTCAGGTAAAACGTTTTGTCAATCTTGTAAGAAGAAGTGCAGTGGGGAGGTACTGCGGGTGCAGGACAAATACTTTCACATAGGGTGCTTCAAGTGTGCTCAGTGCAACGCCAGTTTGGCGCAGGGTGGTTTCTTCGCACGTGAGGGCTCCTATTATTGCACCAAGGTGAGTCGCATCTTACTCGACATTCTTTAGATATTTTTTCACTCAACGCGTTCGTTATTCTGCTAATCAGGATTATCGGGAGCGCTGGGGCACGCGATGTGCCGGTTGCGGAGAATATGTGGAGGGTGATGTGGTGACAGCCGGCGAGAAGCACGCGTTCCATCCGAATTGTTTCCATTGCCAAAGATGCCGGCAACCGTTGCTGGGACAAGGAACAAAAGTGTCCCTTGTTCAAGGTACGTGACGAAACAATTACTCTCGACTCGTTGAGGGCTAAATTGAGGCAGCCTCGGATCTGCATCTTTATTTAGCGCATTACTGCTTTTCGACACAACACCAGCAGTTCTTACACGAAACGAGAACACCGAATGACGCGTGGAAGACTCGTTAATTCAAATAGCCAACAGTTTCTGTGATATTGTAGATTGCGATGCGTTGATGCGTATTGAGTTATTGCGTAACCGATGTATCTCTTTGGTACAACTTTCACAATTAGCGTGGCAGTCAATCTGTTAAAGCAAATTGCCACTTGGGCATATCGTTGCTCCACCATTACAAGGCCATATGTCTACTATGTTACGTCCTTGTAACAATTACGCGGCCAAAGGTAAAAATCCGGCATGACGTGCATCACTTTATCGTGTATAACGGTGCATGTCACCCATTTCCAAGAAATTAAGGCCGATTGAACATTACGAATAAAGTACGCTGGATATCACATCTAGTCCTTCGTCAAGAAAGTTGTTGGGAAAATGAAAGTAAATTCCATTCATTATCATTTAATTTGGAGAATGTCAATTAAAAAAGGAAATAATTTAATAAGGAAAATTTTATTTTTATCAGCTTTTAAACAAAATTCGAACACATTCCGTATTTTTCCGAACCATTACATCAACATCTTAATTTGTTACTATTAATAAAGCAGTAATTTATCGAATGTTTTATGACGCAGTCGATACAATAGAATTGAGCGATCTTAAATCAATTTCTCTCAAGTGAAAGGATTGGTAGTCGTAAATAAAATCGGATGACAAATTTCATTATAGAAGAGACAATTGGCACGCAGCGCAAAGGTTAATGATGACGTCTCAGGATCTGTCGCCGGATCTCATTAATCTTCACTAACTTATGCATTGTTCATAGGTCAAGCGCTATGTCACCGATGCGTTGGTATCCCGGTCCGGGAGGCCTCCACGCCGATCAGCAATAGCGCCGGTACCAAGGGCGGCGGACAAGATCCTGGTGCCTGCGCCGGTTGTGGAAACCAATTGAGGGAAGGTCAGGCATTGGTCGCGCTCGATCGTCAATGGCACGTCTGGTGCTTCAAGTGTTATAGCTGCGACACTGTGCTCCACGGGGAATACATGGGAAAGTGAGTCTCGCGTTGATCCACAAATCTATCCTCGCATCTTGAACATCTACAAACATTAATTAACATTACTCTAAAAGTATGATAGCTTCTTTATGAGATTGGGCAGTCATAGTGTTGGAAAAGTTCAAAAATGAAGCTTTCAGAGTAATAAGCATGTCTTGAAAAAACAATTAAGAAATGTACACTGTAATAAGTGTTTAAAAAATTATTTTTCTTTATTTTAATTTCAACATTTTTCTTCAAATCAGTACAAGGATGTGGATAAAGAAGATACGATTCAAGTGACGCGCGAGCTGTAGCCGTTAAAATTTTTTTCAACAGAGACGGCGTGCCTTACTGCGAGAAGGATTATCAGAAGCAGTTTGGAGTTAAGTGCGCCTACTGTAACCGTTACATCAGCGGCAAGGTTTTGCAGGCCGGCGACAATCATCATTTCCATCCGACTTGCGCGCGCTGCACGAAATGCGGCGACCCGTTCGGTGACGGGGAGGAAATGTACCTGCAGGGTGCTGCCATATGGCATCCACGCTGCGGTCCAGGACCTACCGGACCCAATGGCATCGTGAACGGACACGGGGACGCTCACACCCCGCAACATCGAGAATCGGAGCGAATTTCCAGCAGCGCTTCGGAGATGCAGGTAAGTTCGGTTGCGTCGCGCAATCGGTGATTCGCTGTCTAGTCGTATTTATTCTGTACATTCGTGTATTATAATTGATTTAAGCTATTGCAGAAGCTTGTTTATTTTTCCTTAATTTAACTACGAAAATTCTGAAGCAATCGTAGCATCCTAATATGTCTAATTGTTTGGATATACGTTTGACTCGCTTATTGTGAATAAAGATTGCTGTATACACGGCGTTAGTAATTTATACAATTTCAGAGCAATTCTTGTGATTTACATAATATTGATACTACATAACAATGAAAGCAAATCTCGCGTTATATGAACTAACACAGCATAATTTATATTAATATAGTATCATTTATGTCTTAAGCTGATTATTTAATACGCGTGTACAATATTGCCTATATACAGGCCGTTTCCAAGTAATTTATACTCTTTAGTAATAGATTTTACATGAATCACTAAGAACACTGCGTTCGAAAGAGCATCAAAGGTCAAGTATAATTTAAATAGCAGATAATTTAAATAAAACAATATTTTAAGCATTGATGGTATATATTCTTTAGTACATTCAGTGACGGAAATATATTATGTCGTTGAAGCGACACTCACATATCTGAAACGGTGAATGGAAATAGCATCGCGTTCCGGAGCGTTCTAAAATAATACGTCGTGAGTGTCTAATTTTGATTCCTTCCTGATCCAGAGGGTATAGAACAAACTAGCGTTTTTCAAATGCCATTGCTCTTAGTTACTCATTGAATATCTATTATTATATAAAAGTTTATTTGATCAGAGAGTCACAGTAAATTGATTAAATTTTCAATACATAATATACAAATATCAAATTTTAAGTGAGAAAGTCGAGAGTTCGATATCGTATGATTCAATAGTTAGCATAATATTATTTTGATGTCAATATTGTTAAAAATTATGATATCCATATTACGTTAGAAAATTAAAAAAAATGCATGCTGCTGTTTATGTCTAGCACTCGCATTATTCGACTTGGTTGCATTATACATATATTGAGTTGTACTCGTCTGCATAATTGAATTTACCAATTATATCATAAGGAAAGCGAAGTGTTTCGCATATATTGAACATTTTCCTGAAGGTTTACTTTGTGATTTCTATCATCATAGTATGTAACATACTCTCTATATTAAAAACTTCTTTTTATGTTTTAAATCTTGCAAATTTTTCTCCGAAACACTTTGTCATTCGACATATATTCTTGTGTATGTCATGTGTTAATGTAATATAGTGGTAATATAGAGCAGAACACCTTAAATCCCCCTCAAAAGAGATTTAATTATTTTGTCAGCTTTGTGTATAGCTTGATTTTTGCCTCGGAGATGAGCTGGCTTGTCACTTTACCGTTCTTTCGTCTCACGCACGCCTCGATGTAGGAAACAAGCGAAACATCAAAGATTATATTATCATACTTGATTTTTTTATTAAGTTTTTATTATCGCTTTTCTTAATCGTTGTTTACTTTTTCCGCACGGTCATTATGTATAGTTTTCATTGCGGTCACGCACGCCAAGCCTGAACGGATCGCTGTGCAGCCCTTACAGCAGCCTCAGTCGCAAGGTATGCCATGTGTCACTTAGCACAGCACTCTCTCAACAAGTATTTCTGGTATCACTTCTCACGTTACCTCTACTCGGCGACGCGTGCTTTCGCTCTGTCAGACACTTCGATCCTATTTCAATTTTATCGAGCCGTAAGATAGAAAATTAAAACTATCGAAACACTGTTTGGGATTTATACTCTCGTTAATTTTCATTAACAAAATGATTTCTATCAGAAATCTAATTGCATCGTTAATCATTTGAATTAGCGACCGTTATTTAGATGTAAATGCATAAACGGAGAAAGAAAATTAATGTATTTTTTTTTTAATTCAGAAATCCTCCGAAATATAAATTGCGTTTCTCTTGACAGAGTGTTGCTCGCCTTGCACGAGCTTTTTCTTCTATACAAAGTACGTCAGCAATTCGAATAAAAACACAAAAATATCAATTCCTTTCAAAAGAAACGAATTTCAAATCAAAATCAAATTATTTTAAGGAAGACTTTGTTTATCCGATTTCTTCTACGCACTTTGTATAATTGATAGTAATATTTAGATATATAAAATGCAAACTGTACTACATGTGTAATAAAATACATTGACTGCCTTAGTATTATCCCGCTCGAACTGGAAGCCCCGGCCTGATCCTGCGAGAATACGGACGACCGGCGGAAGATGTGTCTAGGATTTATACTTACTCATACTTGACTGAAACGCCCAGTCAAGGATATCTGAGACGTCCGATACAACCGTACGATAAACCCCCCACTAGCCCGCATTTTCATAGACCTAGCTGTAAGTTTTTTTTATATACATAAACCTAGCTGTTAGTTTTTTTATATACGTATTTAATTTAATTATTAGAGATTAGATATAGAATTTATATAATTATAGAACAACACTATGTAACTGTGCTATAGTCAAATGTAATCATCCTTTTTATATCTTGAATGTCAGGAGCAGGAATTTCAATTCATTTAATTTCTAAATTACATTTATTAAAATATTCGATTTTTTAATGAAATATTTCAAAGAAATATATTTCATTTTACTCTATATCGTTCGTCTGATTCGTCAATTTATTTACGTTCTTCAGAGTAAATTCGTCAATTACTTTTAGTACGAGAACACGCTTGCTTTGTTTCACAGCATCTCGTTCGATAAGAAGCAGCGGTGGACGCAGCAGCAGATCAGGAATGAGAGCTTTGGTCGATGCATTGAGCGACACCAGACCGAAATCGCCGGCAAGCCAGGTGGATAACGATGAGCCGATAGAACTAGCGCATTATCCGGACGCCATGAAACCACCCCCGGGGGCACAACCACCAATCGAAAGAGATGATTTCCCCGCTCCGCCATATCCTTACACTGATCCTGAGAGACGTAGACGATGGTCCGACACTTACAAGGTATTATCTGATATATTATCGCTTAATCCTCAAAATAATATAATATCACGTTTTCATTAATTCTTACGTGATGCTAAATATTATTAATGATTAATTAACTTTTCAATGTTTGCTCCTAATTCAGGGAGTACCTGCATCTGATGATGAGGATGATGTGGATAACAAAACATATATCAAGGAGGCGGAGCAGAAATTAAAAAAAGAACAGGATGAATTGAGCAAAATCGACACGGGAATAGCTAAGGTATTCCTGCATGATCGCGAAAAAGATCGGGAGAATTTGAGACACAGGGCTGCGAACGTCGATCCTAGAAATGCCTCGAGGACACCGTCTGCCGCCAGGGAACCAACGTACCGATTGCGCTACGAGAGTCCCGTCGGTGCATGTAAGTTACAATTAATTTTGTATTTTTAGTATTTTGATATGAAAATTTTTTTAATTATTTTACTTGTCTAATTAGTTCTGTTCAATATTTTGAAGAGAACATATTGTTCTTAGACTTACTATTAGATTTGAAAACCTATGAACAGTGTCACATTTAATACGTAGAAGATAATTCGACGAATGTTTTGTACAGCGCCTTCACGGAATATCGATCATGCACGACCTTGGGAGGATGAGGATGGCTTCAGCTACAGATCTAGCGGGCCTAGCTACAACGGTAAGTTTTTGTCCGCCACGCAACGCCACTCGTAATTGTCTTATTAACATAAGTAACGATCATCTCATACATGTCCACACGTTCGCACATGACACTAACATACCACTCTACCGTTTAAAGTAATATCAATTAGAGAACACTGTTAGTCTCGATAGAGTGGGGTTTCCCAGGGCGGGAGGTCGTAAATGGTCTCATTTTATCGATAAAAAAGAAATTTGGGTTTGCTATGTGGAACGAACGACCGAATCGGCCAATGCAAACTATGAATGTGGGAGGGTTTCATGCTAATTAACAAACGATGATAACAGTACGAAACGCTCGAGAACAGGACTTTATTTTAAGTGGCGTGTGTGTAGCATCAAAAAACCATACATTGGGCGCCCAATTAATACAACAGGTGATGTATTCTGCCTATGCATGTTGTCGTCCCTTACCTGCTTGCCTTATAATTTTTTTTTCTTGTCGAACTGCGAACGGCGCATCAACCGATACCTCGAAATAACGAGCAATTAAATCGCCATTGCAATCTTTAGCCCTGGAAATCATTTCTCGAGGTAATTGATTCTGTTGCTATATCTTGCATGCTATTTGGGACCACGAAGTTTATCATACACGGACACATATATTGCTCCCATGCATATCACTCTCATTTTCGCGTCACGACCGTACTTTTAGATAGAATTTTAACTGAATTTTAAATTAATTAAAAAATTATTATTTTTCTTCACTTTACTATATGCTTCAATAAGATTTAAATCGCTATCGTGATCATTCTGTTTAAATTTATACAAAGTTAACGTTCAATCGAAAATAATACAAGATATATGAATATTTACTATAAACAACTGTTTCTATAATTTCTTATTTTATCTTTTATTTTATTAAAGACAAATATAACTTAAAATTACTAGCTAATCTCTGATTTAATTTTGATAATTGGCAACTGAGTTGTTAAAAAATTTTTAATATTAAAATGCTTTTTTAAGAAGAGAGTTAGTTCTTAGATATTTTTTGAATCTTATTTACAATATTGGAAGATAATTTGACAACACGGTTGTTTTGTTTTATTGCGCATGATAATTATTTCTTTTCTGCACCGCACATCTTCGCTTTCTGACAAATATACAGAATTTTGTGCTTCACGGTATATCTTCCAATGTTGGGTCACCAGTTAATTTTAGAACGCTAATCTGGACAGCTAATCTGAACGTTTGACAGCTCAATGTAATTCAATTTTTGTGCAATAAAGATTGTATAATTAAGAAACAACATTGCGAAAGCGTAACAACATTGAAAAGGGCAATTAAAGATTACTATTATGAATTGATGAGGTTATTTATAATACAAAAATTGACTAATTATTGCAACTTTCAATAATTACAATAAAATGTTTAATAGCAAAAATCTTTTCGATTGGATTTTTGTTTGTAAAAATTATAAAGAAATCTACTAACGTAACAAAATCGCTAACAGTCCCCAGTTGGCGTTCTAGATTTAATAGGACACGGCAATCTACGTTTGTTACACGATGCTACTACCTGTCGTCTATTATCATTGTGTCTCTATTTGTGTTTTTGTGTTTGTGTTGTGTTTGCGTGGGCGGCAGTTGGGAGGTCATCGGCGCGCTCCCCGGCTCCCAGAAACTATCCACCCCTTGGTACTCAGCGCGCCTTCACTCTTCCAAACGCCACTAGGCACTATCACTCGGTGAGTCCGAAAACTTTCCAATTCGCCCGCCGTTGGTCCCAAGTCAAATCAAATCCATTTCTGAGTTCCATATTTAAGCTTCCTGACTTACCAGTTCAATTTCTTTATACATATTTTAAAAAGTTTCAGCGTTATATTACGTGATTTTTTTTTTTTTTTTTTTTTTTGCGCGCGATTAAGGACTGTAAATTGTGCACGTGTAAATTAGGCATGTAAAATGTATTTGCCGATGAAGAAATAAGAATTCATAGTTATTGCTGCGTCTTAAGATTGAAACAACGATCATCATTAAATTGAGATTTCTGATAACACGAGAGTAGTTCATCTATATCTATGATTTTAGATGCATCTCATTTATTGTAATTATGTGATAATATAACGTATAAATATTACGTTTTTTGTTTTTGGAAATTCACGTTTATATTTCTGTCTGCGTTTTCAGTAAGAAAGGAAAGCTTTTGACTTGTCATCACGGCGGGCGCGCTTACGAGACGAGTCTATTGTACTTACACGCAGAGGTGCTGGCTTTTTATGTATCTGTTTTTTTAAATCGCGAATTGCCTCGCACACTCTACTTTAATGAGAGTGATCGCTTTTGTGCACTCGAAACTATCGGATATCTTTAAGCGCCGTTTGCCGATGGGGGTGCGATAATATAATTGAAATTATTATCACAGATATCCTTTGTTACACGCGATAAAATTAAAAACAATTAGATTCCGTAGAATATATTTAATGACGCGATTGATGTGTGCTTTTCTTAATTATTTATTAATTAAAAATATACATTTTATTTCAGTTATTAATTGCATAAGAGATAATTATGTATAATATAAAATAAAAGAATAGGAAAATTGAACAATTCATAATAGAATTATATCGCGTGTATATCGATGGATATCTGTCTTTTATCAAATTAATCCGGATTCGTAAACATTGTAAAACACAAAGTGCTGAATGTATTGTTGAAGCGCAAAGATAGGGGGAAATCCCTTGATAGTGGTTGATCTTGGGTTGGGACACATGAGGGAGCGACATGACTCCGGGTAGAGTTAACGGGTACAAAAAAAATCTGGCAAGCGAACGTTGGGCATTCGTATGGGAGATTGAGCGAATTGAAATCACCGCTGAAACTAATCAGTAACACCTGTCGATTGACTGATTTGCAAACCAGTTGTGAGCTCCCTTCGGCACATCCCGAAGCCGGGGTACGGTCTGGCACCGCGAAGTCACACCTTCTCCTCGACCGGCGGTTCCGTGTCTGCTCTCCCTGTAAGTCTTGCACCGCAAGTCACAGTCGGCGATGCGACGTGCACCGCGCTGATAGTGCAATAATACGTATATAGAAGAGAGTATACATAGAGTCGACTCCGCGACGGCCGAGCGGAACACGCCTCTCTAAGATAACGCTTTTCTGTCGTCTAGGGCGACTATTCCTTCAGCGGGATGGGCGACAAGACGCACAGCACTGACTTCTCGTCTGGCAAGTCGGACAGTGAGTAAAACGAGAGGGACCAACCGATGCCGGTTCCCCATCGCACATACATTGGCTCTCTCACCTGTTTACATCACGCTTCCCGAGCTTGACGCGCTCGCAAATTAGACGGATGCAGTGCCTGCGATGCTATCGTGAATCGAGCGAGCGCTTCTATCAGTTTCTACTGAGCTAAGATTACGCTAACAGCGCTGATCTAAGACGTTTCGGCACGTCTGACAAAACAGAACTTTATAATTTCGATCTGGAGTTGGTATCTTGTTAACGGAAATTTTATTTGGCGTGGTTTTATTTTTTATATTAAATGTCTTGGTCTCTCTAATTTGAAATTAATACTTTGGTAAAATTTGTTTAAAATTAACTGAAGTTAATTTATCAAGAACTATATAATTACCAATCGTTTATAGCAGAAATTGTTTCGATAATTTTTATAACGAGACTTTTACGAGACGCTTACGTTTCGGAAAAGACGCACGATTCCCGAGACATTTCAAATTCACACGCATTGTCTCACTGCGCACAGTTCGTGATGGAGCTACTGGCGATTTTTGCGAGCGCGTCGCTTCCACTTTATCATTTTCTTTATACACTACTTCGTTTTGCCTTGTTCTCGCATGCTTTACTAACATCCCTGCGAGTTATCGCACTGTCACTGTGAAACGTTGTACGTCGTACATTGGCCTGTACATCCGTCGTATAACATTGTCTATTTAAAGATCTGTGATAGTGGCACTTGTTTGATTATTAATTATGAGATTAGTAGTCATCTACAATGTGCCTGAATTGATAAAGAAAGCGATAAGATAAATTATACCGATTCAGGAAATATCAAAGAAAGTATCAGAAATGTTAAATAGAGATTCCGATACTTATTAGTATTTTCTGCATTTGGCCAGAAATTTATAGAATTATAATTACACTATTATATTCTTTGACCCCTTGAATAAAAAATTATGTACATAATGCGATTATTAAAATTTGTAGTCGACATATTCTTACAGATTTTAGACAACCCTTCTATAAATCTGGAAATTTTGCAGTAGACTTATTGAATTATGAAACAATCATGTCTCCAGCATTACCTTATTTACTTGTAATTAAATAGCTGCGTTTGCGCTGCTCTGCGCATTTTTTCTACATAAATTGTGAAATATATAGGCAGGTAATGAAAGGCAAACATGATTGGTGAAAAACAGATTGTAGTTAGCATAGGAAATGGTTTGTGCAACATGGTTTGATATGGTTTTCTTTCACATTTTTCCCCAATTTTAGTATCAACAGGCAGCATCACGGATGTGGATCGACGGGCATTGGTATGTACCACAGCCCCATACTACTCCCGGCGAATTAGCATGGTTTGTAGCTTGTTTTTGCATCACAAATAAAACTTCGTTTATCAGAACAATTTGAATCATACTACATTTAAATATATCTCTTTCTATATTAATTTCAAAGAGTTATTTTAGTATAGATTTAATAATAATTTTTTTAACGTACTAACATTGTTAATTTTATAAGTTATTAAATAAGTTTTAATTTGTCGAAAAGTGAATAAGTTCTTTCTTTAATTTTAAAGACAGAAAGATTCATCAAATATATATACTATTTTTTAATTGTATGTGGTATCCAATTTGATTATTCTTATAAATGGAGTTTAAGCAAATGTAATTTTATTTAACATTTTAGCACGTCTCTATAATTGCAGATGTGTTGCATTAACTGCACACATTCGTCTAGAGAAACAAGACAGTACAGTTCGTACGTTTGAAAAATTTGCGATGTGTATATGCATATTATTTATACATATTTGTATGATTATACTTAATTTGCTACTTGTCCTTATTACGATGTAATTATATATTCTGTATATAATGCTGTATAATGAGTATGCATGCATGCTGTACATTTTGCTGTTATTTTGAGTTCTGCATTTTTATCATCTGTACTCACTTTTAATTTGCTCTATGTTGCATATTCGATTTATCGTAAGTTTCTCCACTTTTTAATTAAGTTAAGTTAGTTAATTAATCGAATTATTTAAATCCAATTTGCACTATTTAGCTTTATGGACAATATGTGTTATTTTATCTTTTTTGAGTTTTAATATAACATAATTTATTTTGTGAAAATTTTTAATTTTGAAATTCGAAGTATAGGCTCCATTGGAAATCCACGAATATAAAAAAAAACTGGCTAATTAAAAGTTAGGCGCGGTAAATAATGCGCGAAAGTTATTTTTAAATTTTTACACATTCTTTAACCTTGGTTTTGATTTAATTAGGGGGAGGGAGGGGATTTTATTACTCCAACTAAAGCTGTGTGTGTGTTGTAAATCTGACAATTTAGTCGGCGCAGTTTACCAAGGTTGAAAAATATGTAAAAATTTTAAAACAACTTTCGCGCATTATTTACCACGCCTAGCTTTTAATTAGCCCGTTTTTTTTATATTCGTGGGTTTGAGAAACGGAAATAATTGAATTTTTTTATGTAACTTATTTGCATAATTTATTTAATATAATTTTGAAGATAACACAAGAAACTGATATTACCACATCAGCAATTTAATGCATTATCATTAATATGAAATGATGTCATTTTTTATGAAAATTGATTATTCAATATTATACATGTCATTGTTAATAGCACATTTGTTCAGTATTTAAATATTTCACGTGTTAAAATGTGTTTATATATAATAGAAACATTTCTTTCATACAAAACTATTTTTCAATTATAAGAAATGCATGTATGGTATATACATTATTCGCACTTGAAAGATTATAGCTGTATAGTAGATACAGATAGCATCGTTTATATAGAAATCACAAATTGTATATATGTATATTGTGTAAATTTTGAAAAGAAATTCAACTGCTTGCACATAAGATGATCGCTTCAGTCCATTTCAACTAAATTAGTATACTCCAAATATTTTAAGAATGAAATCGATATACTTTTAGTAACTGGACATCAGTATTTTGAAGCAGTCTATTGAGTCATACGAATTCGTACATATATATAAAAGAAATTTGTTAATCATATTATTCATTATTATGCAGCGAGAGTATAACAGTTTTGTAGTGTGTAAAGAATGTGTTTACTATTTAAGGCGTGGACAAGGATATTCTTAGGGGATGCATGACAATGGAAATTTTTAATTGAAATATATGCATACATCTGGAGAGATCTTGTTGCATTTTACGAGTTTTTACCAAACTTACATTCACTATAAAATCGAGTTACTTTATAAAAATCTTATCTGACGAATTTTTCCTTATTCAAATTTATTTTGATGATTCGAAGAATGCAACCCCTTACATCTTTCTCGCATCGTCCATATCATTTTCGTACTATTCGCATCCGTTTACGCTAATGTAACTCATAATTTTGTGTGATTGTGGTGCAGAATGATGGTGGAATCCTTCCATCGTCCACCACGTATACGGGTGGCCTAGGTTCGGTTGTTGGAGGCCACCACGGGGGTCACCACGTAAGAAGATCGCTGCCGGACATGGGGGCTGCGCCAACCGAACCACCCAAGCTTTATCCCTACCATTTACTTGTTATCACCAACTACAGGCTGCCAGCTGACGTGGATCGTTGCAATCTCGAGGTGGGTGCTAGCTGCGAGCTATTAAATTGAAATATTGCTTAATCTCTTCATATAAATAATATTGTAAATTTACAATATAACGTTATTGTATAATAATGTTTTATTATTGAGAATGATAATATTCTCCATTTCTTCTCATCGCGTTATTTATTGAGATTAATTGATATAACAACCATTAATGGCAACAACGTAATAAAAATAACTCGAATTCTTCCTTTTTCAGCGACACCTCTCCGACGCGGAATTCGAAGCTGTTCTACAGTGCTCCCGAGCGGAATTCTACAGACTGCCACAGTGGCGTCGCAATGAAATCAAAAGACGTGCCCGTCTCTTTTAATTCACGCCACACAATTTGCTTATTACACATCGCATCGTGTCGCGATTGCGTTACTGCGGTACGGACCGTACATTCCTACTGCGTGGGTAGGTGCATCGCGGAGAAAAAAAATGTGTTCGACAACCATTGCGAATATCTGCCGGCCGACGTGTGCTCGCAAAAATGAGAGCTCCTCTAGACTAGGGCGCACGCGACCCAGACGCATACGCATACGCACACAACACACATATAATGATGCGGAAGCACTGCCACTTGTCGTCAATTTTTTTCTCGCAGCAACGAATCCACAGGCAGCTTTATCTATGACCCGATCTGTTTAGCGACGTAGTCGTTTCCGAGTTCCATCATTCGGAGCTCTATCGTGACTTGGTTTCACTCATACACGTTGAATACGCAATGACAGTTGATATTAACGTATAGGGGAGAAGATAATCAAATACAAGAGATTACGATTAAAACTCTTAATACAATTTGCTATTGTAAATAAGAAGTTAATCGAGAAATCGAAAAGCGTGAGGGAGCAGCTAGGAAAGTTTCAAAGTACATAACCGCGTATTCGCTAAATCGCATACATACATATTAACTTTGTGGAAGATTACGACGCAAGGAAAAAAAACGCTACTCTATGTAGGATTTATCATTATTATTAATTTTTAATTACTATTAATATTATTATTAATATTATATTTTACTATGTGCAACATGAAGAACTAAGAGTAGGTGAGCCCAGCTTGCTGAATGGTGCGATTGCACTGATTAATCGGACGATTTGCGTGTGATTTGTCACTTACTCTGCGACAAGGATTATTTTACAATGTAGCTTGCGCGCAAATACGATGCCCTTGTGTGAGAAGATATCAATTTGTCTTTATCCTTTTAATTATCCGTGATGTATTAACTAAAGAAACGCTCTGCGGTGCGGATTGCGATAGACTTCTATAATCACTCGATCACTCTACATTAGAGTATAACTAAGAAAATCAGGACCAAATTTATAGTTGTGGTGGATCTAGCAATAACATGGAAGGTGTTTTATCACATTTTAATCATACACGGATTTATTGTCACATTCAACTTGTAGCAATTTTCGCAATATTTTAGAAGTAGCATAAGACAAATTTTTTAATCTTATATTCATATTCATCTATTTGGAACGGGTAGTGATTCTTAACATTTTTTTAATGGAAGCGCTTATTTATAATATATACCAAAAAGAAAATTTCCAATATTTGAAACTAAAAAGAGATGCATTTTATGCGGGATGCAAAAACCACTCTTATCGCGTATCTCATTATATTTTATGCTACTCTCAGAATAATATATAAGTGATAATTTCATTAATTATTATTACTAATTAAGCGAAAACTTTAATTTTGTAGATATCGTAGCGATCGTCCTCCACCCTTAAATTAGGTCCTGCACAGAATTAAAAAATTTCGAAGTAATAGATCCAGCAGTTAAGCTAATACTGGACGTACACGCGTCTATTGAATAGAGCAGATTTATGCAAAGCGAATAAAGTTGAATTTTCATATATAGGTGAGAAACTCGACGTATCGAAGTTCCGACTGTTACGCCGTATGATTATTATATATCTAGATGAGTTTACTACGTATTTGGATATGCATGCGTGCAATAAGATTGACACGCTTCGTTCGAACGAAGTCACCGAACTACTTTGCTACCGACGCGCGTGCGACATTTTATCAAATCAGCTGCGTTTTATTATCCACACATTTCGCCCCCCTTACCTTAAGTCATGTGCCTAACAAATTAATGTCGTGGGACATTTGTGAGGGAGAGAGAGGAATCGTTAGTCTTATAAAGCGACCTATACATGCTTTGTGTAAGATTCACAATTCCTACCGAGGCAACACATTCTGGATCCCTTCAAAGCGACGATCCTTTACGACGATCTTTCAAGTGTCTTTGGAATCTTTGTGTTGCCTTCGGTAAGCTTCGTCACGAAGAAAATTCGACGTGCTCCATGATCGCTAACACACAATTGAATGATTATTTCGTTACCTCGATGTCGTTTGAGATCGACATCGCTGTAAAATCTCTTTCTTTTCTTTTTTTCTTACAAATATACTTTGCTCGTGTAAAATGTATTCGTGTAATTCTTTTTTATTTTGTTCTTATTATATGTAAGTCTCGCGTCGGATCCTATTGATTTTGTGTACAATCGCACTCTTGATCATGGCGCAACGTTGTTGTTCTCACTGTGCAATGCGAACCAATGTATGTTTCTGTTGTATAGAGCACATTGCTTCCGCTAGTCCCTAAAGTTAAATAAATGCAAAACAAAAAAGCTAATATACGTTGCTGCCACTATTGCATTAATGACCGAGCAGCTTATATCCCGCAACAAAGACTACACGCACAAGTCTTCCGTTTCTTGATCTGTTTCATGTAGATTCTTGGGGAAAGATTCCCATTTGCTCGCAGGTGTTTGCTGGCATCGTTCTCCGGTAAAAGCAATCCGTCTAAAGGTAATTCAAAGGAACTACCGCAGAATATCAAACTTGGAGCTTTTTAACTCGCTACAGCCTGCTGTGAAAGATTTACATGTTAAATCACGAATAGAAGCGCCGCAGGGTGCAAGACTAATGTGGAATTACTTTTTCGCGAAGGATCACGAAACCCTCCAGCACACTGGAGAGCGGCTCATATTGGTCCGACACTAATTCCGCCTTTTCGCCCGCGCATAGCAACACTGGTGTGGTTTGTACATGACCACCGACAATGGATTTCGGATTACCTGCTTTCCCTACAACGTCCACGTTTTGACCGACTCTCACTGACACCGGCAAATTCTGTGAAGTATTGGGAAAACGTCATTTCTAAGCCTAGAATATCTATATATCTTATAATCTGGGTAATCTGGAATTTGGATAATCCCTTTGCACACCTTAAGATTTTCATCCACGGTGACTAGCCACCTTGGTTCCATCGCGACTGCCAAGCAGTACATTAAATAGTGAGACTGAGATAATATAAGATTCCTGCAGTCTAAACAAGCAACCAGAACAACCATCAGACCAGCCAGGGCGGTGTAGTCTAAAACTTTCGAACCATACCGCAAGGGTGATAAAGATAAAGTGCCCTGAAAAGAAAAATATAATAGTGCAACTGGAATAGAACGATTAACTTTCATTCTACATTAAAGAGAGGAAAACTGATTTATCAGAACATTTGTTGCTTTATTGATATCGTTATCATCCGTTTGTTTATTAACTACATAATTATAAGCACCCTTATCGAAGCCATCTTATCGAGACCTTTACCTTGCCCAGGTGTACTAAACCCTGAGAAATGCGTACGAGGAACAGGTGCGACGGATTCTTCGCGTAATAAGCCGCCAGCTGTCTCAACATCGTCGCCAGTCGTGCGTTGTTGGTACCGGCGCCTACCAGGCCGAGGGCGAAGATCGCATTCAGGGCGACCTCGGCGTCGTGGTCGTGGCTGTACTTGTTTAACACGTCCAAGACCGCTGGATCGGCGTTTGACAGAGAAGATAAGGCCAACGCGAGGGGCATAGCGCGTCGCGCTGGCGTTGGACCATATCTTCCGACCTATATTTGTTAGACAGCGTAATAATGGTGAGGATTCAGAGGACAAAGAGCAGTTCCCATAATAAATAATAGTTGACTACACTTTTAACTGATCTTCCGCTCTTAGTTCTATCCCATGAAGAGACAGAGACGATAAAGTCTCTTAAATTGCAGTATGAATGAACTATAGGAGCCCATAAATATTAATTAAGATGAATTGAGATTTTAATGTTCCTTTATCCCCTTCCTGCTCTAGATAGGAACATTCCCATAAATATCCATCACGGTTTATTGAGGAGTCGTGCGCACTTATTTCCTGACCTGACCAAAGATCCTCGAGTTTTCTTTTCCTTCTCCAAGTCCCACTACACCTACTCCAAGAGATGCTATAGCCTGCGGTGTTCCAACGTCCCTGAAATTCATATATGTCACTGATTATTCCTTTTGATCATAAATTAATTATTTAGCATTAAGTGTGCAATAACGCATTCAACAACAAAATTTTTTTCTCAAACTGCATCTATTAAAGAGTTAATTTATTTATTTACGTTTTTATATTGCTATTTTTTAATATTTGATTTAACATTTTTTACTTTCACTTTTATCTTCAATTTTATCAGTGACACACTTACTTAGCAGAATCGTCGGTTTGACTGTTGTTTTTTTTATTCTTTTCTAACTTGGTAGGGCTACTTTGTGGTCTTCCTTGATCGCAGCAGCTTGGTATCGGGGTATTGTCGGGTGTCGTTTTCGCGCTCGTCACTTCCTCAGTCGCTTCCGAGCAGATTCTTAAAAGTTCTTGCACTATCAATACGTCACCAGTACCCGCGTACGCGCAAATCTAACAGAATCGCTTTTATCAAGTTCGAATTATATATGAAATTTTACGACACACTTTTCGTGAAAATTACGCGAGTCTAACAGCAACTTTTGCTATTTCAGACTGTAAGGAATTTTTCACGAGATTATTTTTGCAAAAAATCGTAGCAGTTTAATTTTACTTGTAGCATAGTTTGCGAAGCAAAATTGTATGGTTCCGGCAGAGCTTCGAGCGCTGCGGATGGCGTTTCTATGGCATCCCGGGTTCCCATATAAATCATTCCTAGGGCTAGCGCCAAAAATCTGGGTGAAAAAAAATGATTCCTATATATATCGCACGCTATATATTCGCTTCCTTATACATTCGCGTACACTTTATATATAACATTATGTATGTATAATAGTTACTTTCTCACATTGTCCACAAACATAATTATACCTGGAATGCGTGACAACGAGTTCCTTTATCGACAGTCCCAGTAATTTCAACAGGATAGCCGAAGATACATCGGAGTCTCCCGAGCCTACATTTACAAGGCCCAAAGAGATGGCGATCAGCGACAACACTTGTATATCATCTGAAAAAAATTCGTAGCTGAATATGGCAACTAATTATTTTTATACTTTCTTGAGCAAGGAATTTTAATTCAAGCCATACAAATATAAAATAATAATAATACGTTATAAGAAAGAAATTATATAATTTGAAACGTCTAAAAGATTATCTTCAATATTATAGTCTCTAAGTTATTCCACTATTGAAAAAGAATTAAATTTTCTTTTTCTGAGGCAAACTCATTGGAATAAAAAATTACACTCATATACATCGACTATAATATTATGTTACTTGCCTTGCTCATCGGTGAAAGCTCCAGAAAGAAGTTCGGTGACATCTTTTCTTCTAGAGCCAGCGTAAGCCAGACCCAATCCCATGATAGCTCCAATGCAAAGGATCTGGCTGTTCGACTTCACGTACTCGCTGAGAAGCGCCAAAGCTGGATCACATTCATTACGAATTCCACAATTTACTAGTCCGATCGCTAGAAAAGCACCGGATTTCACGTAGTCTTCGTTCGTGTAAAGATATCTACGCGAAGAACAGAACCGTCAATAAGCAAGATAAATTAATCACAGGTTTTCCTCAGTCCTATCAATGATTCATCATTGTCTTATTACGTCTTTTTCTTTTCAAAGTAATATTTAAAAAATTAATACTTATTCACGATACTATTTTCCTGCTTGGAAATTAAACTTACTTGTCGATAGGAATTAATCCACCGTCGACATCCCACATGTGTATCAGGCCCAGAGACGCGGTAGCCGATAACATTCCGTGTTCCTGAAAAAGAAAGGCCACATATTTTTATTAAAATATTATAAAATTACGTATATATAATTATACATATCTAAGTATTATAATTTTTAGAAGTTAATCAGCGCTAATTAAGATATTCTTTGCAGATTATTTAAACAAAGAATTAAACCTTGTTTTTATACACCCAACAATCGGATGTGTTCGCCATCAGCTTGTCCTGGCCAAAACCCGCGTGCACAAAACCGGAAACAAAGCTTGCCGCTAAATTCGCCCTAGCCGAATCGTGCTCCATTTGTCTAAACCCGCTCACCAACCAGCTCTTGTAGATATCCTCCGGGAGCTTTGGCTCGAGTATGTCAAGCTCTCTGGCAAGAATTTGGAAGTGGGTGTTCACGTGGCCATTGCTAAGGATCATCTCGACATCCTTAGCGTCATTCCCATGATATTCTGTCCTCAGAGGTTGATCCTATTTAGAAAACAGGATAATATTTTAGTATGAATCTATTTTGTAAAGTTGCACGAATTTTGTCTAATCAACGAAATTAGAAAGTTGATTTTATAATTATGCGAATTATTTCTCTTTTTTTTATTTCGACTTATAACATTAAATTTTTGGAAAGAGCAGTAAAAGATGCAGTCACTGTTGTCACTGTTGCATTAAGAGGGAAAAATAGAAAGACGTAAATGTAAATTATATCATTATCGTCTGCTATTCAATTTGATTAAGTTATCGTTTGCGGAAAGTAGTAATGGAAGTTGAATTATTTACTACTATTTATATTATACATTTACATATCATTCTTAACATTGATCTGTATACCGATCGATATGTGTTGTTCTATTTTTTGCCCTGTTGTGACGTAACCAAATGCTATGTAGATATTATGCAAGGATGAGTTACTTGTAGACGGGCGAGGATAAAGGCTAGTTGATTCCTCGTCAAAGAGTCGGGGCAGGCTGCAAAACACTTGAAAACAAGTTCCGAATTTGCAAGTTGCAGCGCTACCAAAATTGCTCTTGTATACTCATTAAACTTTAGATATTGCTCCGTGGCAAACTCTAATATTTGTCTTCTCTCCGTATCCTCGCTAAAGAATACATGTAGAGGAATAATTTAACAAGGAAATCAGCGATGCAAATACAAGTCAGAAAGTGGATTACGTTGCTTATTGAATAGTATAAAATTCCTTTAATCGTGTTTTATTAAGAAAATTATATTGCAGACATTAAATCACAAAGTTTAAAAAGATTATATTTTGAATATATGTATATTTTAATCTATGCAGGATAATTTATCTCTAAGAATTATTAGATTTGGTAGATATTATTTAAAAAAGTAAGATAAGTTTGGTTTTAATAGTAATATTATCCAACCGCATTACCTGTAGGCTGCGCAGTTAATTAAATAATGACACACTCGCGCAACATTTGTAGGCTCTAGATATTCCGCGAGGAAATTTAGCTCGTCGGTCTCCAAACACAGATCGCACGCTTGTATTTCCGCATTATGTCTCATGTCGAACGCGATGATACTCTTGATCAACGGTGTAAGACGCTTTCTAGTACGAGAGATGCGCTGTTATTTTATAATGTTCTCATTATCTCTCGATCTCAGTGTAAATAGAAAGCTAAGCATTAGGAATATGTGAAATGTTAATTAAAATGTTATCTAAATTCTTATCACAAATTACCACGACATCATAAAACATTTATATAGTCGTTAATAATATTTAAAAATATTTCAAAATATACTTACCTGACCTCACGCTCCTCCTTGATCGGCACGTTCGTCCATTCGTCGACAATTTCTGCCTCGAGTTGCCGCACGTATTCATGGCCCCATTCCCCAGGCTTATCCACGGCCCCTTTGATGCAGAAATCCAGACAGTCCCTGGATCCTGGAGCAGCTCCAGCGAGAGCGAGTACACTCAGAATTTCTGCAAAGCGTATCTTCGCCTCTTCCCGCTTGAGCCCTCCGTACGCGCTCCTCAAACTCGAATAAAAATTTCTCAAGTATTTGAGAGGCTTCGGAACGGAAGTCATCGAAGTCGTGGACGTACGTATCAGCATTCTCAGGTGATTCAATGACAACAACATAGCTGTCTCATCCTTACCCTGATAATAATATTACAGTACATTCCAGTTTCCTTCTAAGGAAGATAGCAATTTTTTTTAATTACCAAAAATAAGAGTCAGATAAATTTTAGATCCATTTTTTAACAATTTGTTTTCTTCTTTGTTTTATAAGTAACATATAAAAATTGTAAATTGTCGAAATATATTTACCTTCAATACATCGACCGCTTGTTGCAATTCCTCCTGCAATCTCTTATCTTCTTCGTTCTGCGTAAGAAATAGAATGATATTAATACAAAATATTAAATTTTTAATACAAATTGACATTTAAATCAATTCACAAATAATATTTTCTTGACGTTTTATTATATTTTGTAATTTGTAGCTAATGTTACGCGTTTACCATATCGCTTTCCTTATCTTGATTGCGTTTACTCATCGTTTTTAAAAGTATTCTCGTTACGTTAAGTAAATGTTTTATTACGATTCAACAACGCTGATTCGGACGATTGAAAGAGAATAATTAATTAATACGTTGTCAAATAAATTTTTCTACCCGTCATACACAACGCACGACTTTTGTTTCGTTATTTTTCGGAGACCGACATATGTGGTGACGATTATTTATTAAGGCTTGCATTTATAGCCGCGTTTCTGCTGTATTTTATACATATATGTACATTATAAATTATCTATAAAAGTCTCATTCATTCATTATGTGCAGCCAGCGCTTATTTGTTAGAAGAATCACTCTTTAATATAATTATGATTTCTTATAAAATATTAAAATGTTTCATATTCTAATATGTTAATATATTGGGACAATATTAAATTAATAATTTGTAATACCTCTCTTTAAGTTAAAAATGAAAAAATCCATCGTTTGCTTAAAAATAGTATTACTTATTAAAATAATATTAAAGATAATATTACAATACTAGCTTTTAAGTCCGCGCTGCGCATCATATAATTCGATGCCTACATATATCAATCCTCTTCTAAAAAGGAGATCTGAAGTTTATTGTTGTCGCTTTTCCGCGATGCCGATTGGTTCTCTTGCTGCGCTTACTTCATTTGCAGCTGTCATTGTATACTTTGACAGTTGTGTGTATCAAGGAGTTAATAATGTAATAGTAATAGCATAATGTTAAAGCTAAATAACGCGCGCGAAGCGCGCGTCTGTAGTGTCTAGTCAAATAAAAAATTAATAGCGAATTAACTCCAGTAGTTCACGGTCAGACAGACAGACAGACATCAGACATTTATAACAATTAACTTAGAAACTTTACGTAAATAAACCAATTATATAATAACTAGTCTCTCATCCGTAAACTATGCTGCAATGCTGATGCAAAATTAATTATTCATGCTTTTTGCTACATCAGCATACATAATACTAGAAAAATCTTGATAAAATGTAAATAGAAGAATCATGTTAGAGTCGTATGAAGATTCTTGCCTTTCATCGCTTCAGGCAACAACAATACGATAAAAAGAATACTAATGATGCAGAAACTTTCGACTATCCAGAAGATGACGAACTTGCCACTGAACGTCTTTTCAAGATTGACGGAGAATTTGGCGACGGTGAAAGACATCAAGCACCAGCAGAAGAAAACCATTATATTGGAAGCCTTATTGCATCCGATTCAATACTACTGTGTTTACTCGGAAATGCGTAATATTATAGTGTTGTGTGTTTATCTTTATCTGATCTACAGAGAGAATCATGCGAGCTCCGCGAATGGCAATCTCAAATCGCCATTCGATTTTCTATCTCGAGAAAAAAATTAGAAGCAGACGTCAGTCCACTGTAAGCTGTTGCTTGAACATTTTTATATACAACACAGAATTTTTGAGAATGTTTTCAAATCTTTTCGAAGCAATTTTTCATAATAAAAAAAAATCACGTCGAAAAAATCTGGTATTACATCCAGTTGCATTATCTGTAGGTAATTAAATAATTTAACGACAGTTTCGTTATCGTTGTATTTGCGTTGCGCAACGACAATATAACAATAACGAAACTGTCGTTAAAAGTTACAGAATAGGCCCACTGTCTTTAAATTATATTTTGTTAACACTCTTTATTTAATTAATAAATATTTATAATTATGTAAAACAAATTATTTTTAAATGTTAGCATGTGCGTACGATTGTATATATTGATGGATGATATCTCTGATCATTCATTCATTGATTAAAGACATCTCACGCACCGACAATTAAAGCATTTGCAGTGAAATCAACAGGCACTAGGTATTATATATTTGCTTCGAAATTAGCATTTCCTAGTTGAAATGTAAGCCGAATGAAAAACATATCACAATTTCCATTGGTCTATAAATATTATTAATCCATCCGGCAAATAGTTTATTAACGCTAGATACGATTGAAAGGAACGTTAATTATTCTTTATTGCAGACTCGCAAACATGTCTGATGCTTAAATGCGTAGTTATTCACGATATTTTTTCGTAATTACGTTGTTATTGCAATTATTATTTCCGCAATTATACTAATTTATTTCTTGTAAAAAGTAATAATTACGTTACTGTTTGCACTATATGCACTAATTTATGAAATATATATTCTCGCTCGAACTTGTACTTGCATATTCACTCATTCGTACATACCCATACAGCACACTTGTCCAAAAGCGGGACATAAGACGTCTTTTAGACTTTGGACATGGTGCTGTCTGGGCATTATTCTATATATATTTTCCGGTACGATGCTAGAGATACTATATTATTGTAATAAGCAAAACATGTTATTGCTTATATGCAAATTTTACTAATTGTAGTACTGATGTTTGACAAATAATTGATTAACATAACACGCTTTTCATACTTACTTTTAGATCGAAATTATTTTGTTGTGTCTTATTGTGGAATAATTTTATAGACACTGCATGTAGTCCCAGAGCAAACTATTGTGCAAATAATTGCTAATAATTATACATTAATATGATTCAATAAACTCTTTAGCTAAAAATCTACTAATTGCTATAGTTAATTAACTATTCACTTATGGCAGGTCGAAATATTGCTATTAATAATTCTCCGCTTTTATCTTTAAAAAACACTTCCGCAATCACTTTTGTGAATATATAATATATATTCGGCCATTGTAAGATGATTCTGCAGAAATGTTTTAACTTTTTACGTTATTATATTTTATTATTTTATTTATATTAAAAACAAATCTCATTTTACGCTCTAAATTATTTTTTACAAATACCTATGTCATTAAGTACTTTGTCTTGAAATTCAGCTTAATCGGCGAATATAATATATAGCATTTAATTTATATTATTTGAAGAGATTTATAAAAATTCTAAGAACGTAGTTTGTTTATCATGTATTATACGTAGAGAACTATGCTATAGACAGTATAGACTGCTGCAAAACATTCCATCTCAACAGACATATTCAGAAAGTTAACTTTTGCATTAAATGTTTACATACTCCCGCTTATTTTCCATGTTGTTAAATTACATCAATTTTGTAAATTATTATTTTTATAAAACATTATTAGGTAAAAAGACATTTTTAGGCAGAAAAAGGTTTTTATTACGGCATGAAAAATATACAGAATATATATACAGATATAAACAGTTTCGGGACAGCAAAATATGTAATAAGTTTTATAAAAGAAATATGTTAGACAAAAGTTGTAGAGTTTAAAAAGGTCTATTTACTGGTCTTATCAGTTTGTGATGTTGCCAAGGTCAGATCAAGATAACTTTTAATTCTTTTAATAAGATCCCATATTTTTTATCGCATATTCTCGTAACCGTCTATCAGTATCAGTGATGATAAATATCGTTCCCCTGTTTTTGGACGGATGTATTTACACACAATGTAGTAGAGGCAAATTAGACCAAAAAAGTGCGTTATCTCGGAACCGGTTAAAACTACTCGGATTTGAACATTTTTTTTTTTAATGTAGGTAATTAAAAACACTACAATGTTTATGGGTTAAAAATTGACTAATTGTTTGTTTAATAAATTTTTATTTAATAATTATTTAATAAATTAAAGAATTTGTTGCGCGGCTTTCTTTGGTCTTAAAATATATTATGAACCGCGCCCTACCAGAATATGCAACGTATGATTTCGTTGCTTGCTCCTAACTGCAAATAAACAAATTAGTTATCTCCGCGTCGACCGTTATCTACAACTTCGATGGCTAAAAACTAATTAAAAGAATTTGTTACTCGAGTTTTTTTGTTATTTAAATATTCTATGGACCGTGCCCTATCAGAATATGCAACTTACGATTTTGTTGCTCGCCCCTAACCATCGAAGTCGTAGGTAACGGTCGACGCGGAGATAAATAATTTGTTTACTTGCAGTTAGGGGCAAGCAACAAAATCATACGTTGCATATTCTAGTATTATAGGGCACGGTCCATAGAATATTTAAATAACAAAAAGACCCGAGCAACAAATTCTTTTAGTTAGTTTTTAGCCATCGAAGTCGTAGATAACAGTCGACGCGGAGACAACTAATTTGTTAATTGCAGTTAGGAGCGAGCAACAAAATCATACGTTGCATATTCTGGTAGGGTACGGTTCATAGAATATTTTAAGACCAAAGAAAGCCGAGCAACAAATTCTTTTAGTTATAGTTTTTAGCCATCGAAGTCGTGTTAGATAACGGTCGACGCGGAGATAACTAATTTGTTTATTTGCAGTTAGGGGCGAGCAACAAAATCGTAAGTTGCATATTCTGATAGGGCACGGTCCATAGAATATTTTAAGACCAAAAAGAGCCGAGCAACAAATTTTTTAATTTATTAAATAATTATTAAATAAAAATTTATTAAATAAACAATTAGCGTCAATTTTTAATTCATAAACATTGTAGTGTTTTTAATTACCTACATTAAAAAAAAAAAACGTTCAAATCCGAGTAGTTTTAACCGGTTCCGAGATAAAAACCTAATTTGCCTCCACTAATGATTGTGTTTATTGCAAACGATATTTTTGCTTCTTGACGCGTTACAATGGTCAATAAGTTTGCCTTAGGGCTCATTCCATGCCAAGTAGATCTTTTTTCGGTCAAGTCGTGGATGTTGCGGCCCGCATTAATAAATAAGAAAAATTGTATTATGTATGTGACAATAATAGATTAAGAAACGCAGCCGTGAATGTGACCGCGAAAGTGAAGAAAGACGATAAACAAGTCAGCAAAACAATGAGTTGCGCGAGTGGCCCAAATTCGATTGTATAATTCAACAATAATATGAAGAAATAGGAAGGTGTTGTAATTTCATTCCTGAACCTCCTTTCGCGAATAAAATAATTTACAGTGCCCGAGCGGCACGACAGAATGCAAATTGAATATTATGTTGCGTAATTTTACGGTAAATTTGTACGGTAAAATTACGCTTAAAGTAGTTAGACCGTGACAATACAATCCAAAATTTTGTATTCTAAATCGACGTGAAAATGAAAACATCCGACTATTTACGGTTACAGGCTAAAAACTTTTGGATAATTCTGTCCCTCACACACAGAACAGAAGACTATATTCTATTATTTTTCTCTTCTTCTTTACGTCAAATAATCACGAAAATCGAGGTCTATTTATTATTATATTTTTAAATCTAAACGGTCAATAATTTTGGTTTTTTTTTTACTAGTATTCCTAAAGTATATACCAGTATTCCTTTTACTATATATCCGTTTTTCATCATTTTCTTAAGATTCGTTGTAATTATTAAAATTTAGAATATGAGATTTCCATACGCTTTGTGTATGCAATACATGGAAAAAATGCAATTTTTGATAGCGATTATCTCGCGTTCGGGACGCGTTCAATTACTTCTAATTTGTACAGACGTGTAGATACCATATTTATTAACATATAGTAAAGTTTTCAAATTTTTCTTATTGTTGAAGAATGCTCGTATTGTAATCGTGATAATTAGGCTGGACACAGTCAACGAAGGGTCGACAGATACACGAACAAGACGTGACCGATCGATGTAGTTTTAGAATCTTTATTTCGTATTGACTGAAGACAGAAGTTTACTGAGCGCTCGCTATTATCAGACTGACTGGAACGTTACATATATTACATATTACATCCATCGGTATGACCTCACACACATACATCGATTTAACTGTGTTAGTAAGTCAACAGACCAAATATCTACTTTATTTGGGCATGTTTATGGATTCTAATGACCTAATTGGTTCTAACACGCGTGTACAAAACAAATGTATATGAGATACCGAGGGAAGGCTGCGTGGGGGAAGTGTCGGAGAAGCACACTTGAATACTCTCACATCGCTAGATTTCGAAATAATAGAATATTTATTCATTTACATTATTTACAAGATTATTAATATTACTTGTGAGTTTATCGATGCGAGAATAAATAATAGCATTCCGTAACACTTATAAATTGCGATTTACGGACTAACTACCTTAATATAATATTTTATCGTTCCTGAGCTGAGCGATCTCGAAAATCACCGAGTTTGCACTGATCAAACTGTACGGACATGTGTAAATAACAATTACTGATACATTATGGATTTACGTAAGTAGACCTTTTTTATCCAAAGAGAAATAAGTACAGATATATCACTTATTTCCACTATCGTATTATATTCGTGAAGGAGTGGCAAGTGATATGTGTGGGGATAATGTATATAACCTGATAGTGACACAGATATATAAACTGTAACACTGCGGAAGTTTTCTTTTATTTTCACTTCAATTGCGTACGTCGCGTTTCTGACCGTGAATCAGTCGGTTCAACTTTAATTCCGAATCTAATTTGAACTTAAATTTTGTGCATGTCGTTTGCACTAAAAACCACAAAGAGCCAATAAGTAATTGAGAGCCTCAACCTTCTGCAAAGCCACGAAGTCCCGGAATCATCTCAGAATTTAGTCAAATTAAACCTCCTACAAGACCTACAGACCTTAATTCAATAAGTAGTAAGTATATAATAGTAATGAGTCTTTATTATATTTCTTTTTTTTCTGTTCTCTTTCTAAAGAAGATCACCGGACTCTCGAACCGTCAGACGTTATTTACTACTCATTTTCTTTATTCATTAATACGATTTACAACTTCCTTGCTTCTATATCATGGGTTAGTTGATTGACATCAGCGTCCAGAGCGTTTTCGGTTTTGCTATCGCGGATTATATCTGACAATGAGTAGATAACATTAGCGACAATATCCATAACGTTTCCATTTTTGTTCAAACCATAATCTTGAAGCTTACTCCGTCTACTTTACAGTCCAATAAAATGCAAACAATTTGTTAATTATTCCTAATTAAATAAACTATTTCTAATAACGCCTCATTAAATTGTTAACCAAATCGTCAGAATCGACGGAACAGGCTGGTTAAGAAATTAGTAAACTCTGAGACACAGTATCTAGAAATTTTTGAAAATTTAAACTCTTTCTTCCAATGACGCTATTCACGTTTACTTCCTGAATATAGTTTCTTTACTTGGTACTCGTAACATTATTCTATGCGGGGGTGAAGCACTGATGGCACTCCGAACGACTGGAGCAACGTCGAACAATTGTCTCGACTTGTCTCGTGCGTAGATTCGTCCTCCAACGTTCGTTCGAGACGATCGTGCGCAATTATCTCGGTACATTCGCTGTTATCTCGTCGGGCCCTCAGACGATTGTAACGGAACTCGAGTTCAAAACTGACGATTGAAATTAAACGCCTTTTTGACAACTAAATTGAGTAAAATTCGTACGAGTGCCTGTTCCGCCGGACCGTCGAGTCCTTTACGAAAGGCTGCACCAGCCGCCTGCCAACTTCTCCAGCAAACGCAATTCAAGCCGAAACATTTGTAAATATTCACCGATTTTATCGCTACTTAAACATGTTGTAGGGGAGATCTTTCTGAGTAATTCTACGCAAGAAATAAGGGAGAGGAGACGGCGTTGGTTTAGAATAAATAGGCAAATTGAAGTTTCACAATTTTATTACTTCTTCTAGGTATTATAAAGTAACATTCTAAATTCTAAGAGAAATAATTTGTTGATATGTGTGTATAAACAGTACACGTGTAAGCGGGGGAGGGTGGGGAGTGAACATTGGTTCGTGTGGAAAGTTAAAAACCTATTTTTCTTCTTTCGTTGATTTGTGTGGAAAGTCGCATTGTGTGAAAATGCTTAATATCTGTAACAGAAATAATTTGTTAAAGCAGAGAATATATCGAAGGTCGTAGAAAATAATAGAAGAATATTATATATATACGGCCGGGTGCGCGCTATAATAGTTTACACTCTATGAAACAGAGGTGGCATTCCCAGCAAAAATTTGATAAATATTTACTAATATTTATTTTATATTTTAATGATATATATTGAACAAAGTTTTTATGAGATTTTTTCTTCATATATATATGACATATGTATAAAATATTTATATATTATAATATTTCAAAAATATATACACTGTTGAAAACAGAGGTCCTGTATGTTAAAAAAAGTCCTTGTTAAAATTTTTGTGTAAAATAATCAACACATACGCGTGTAGATGTAACATATGCCTGCTATGTTAATTGAATTTTACAAATTTAAAATGTAAAATAATTAAAATAACTTAAAAAATATGTTAAAGTAACACAATTTGAACGTATTTATTAAATGTGTTAAAATTTACAGAAAAAGAATGTTGATTTTACTCTATAAAAGAAGTAGGAATAAAAATTTACATAAATAGAGTGTTGATTTTATCTTACAATCTCAACTTCAACATAAAAGTTATGTTAATTGTACACATAATTAACTTCAAATTACGATCAGAATTACATTTCTTTCCATTTTCCTTTCTGTTGAATTATGATATTTTAACATAATATCAGTGTTACCACTTAACACATCCATATTATGTTAAATTAACACAAAAATTTGAGTGGACCGTTTTGGACATGTGATTTATGTTATATTTAACACAAATTTTTCAACAGTGTATAGTAAAAAATATTTATGAATATTTATCATAATTTTTGTTACGGTTGGGAGTGATTGCTAGTGTAGTTAATTTTGTGGTTTTTATTTTATTACTACTTTATTATACAATATTAAGAAGTAAAAATTGTTCCCAAGTATCTTGATGGTAAAATGTCAAAATGTCCACTTGATAAACGTTTATTAAAACACGTTCTTTTTCTTTATCTAAGACAAAAAACGCTTTTTTAACTGTTTCTTTACATATCGTGTGCCTATGAGTGCGTTCGGTTTGGACGCTCACGCGATGTAAGCGCTTATGAGCGTTACTCACGAGGTTCGCTTTGGCGTTGTAAGCGCTTACGGATCGACTAATGACGTCATCGTTGACGTCATAACTTCTGCTGACAAACGCTTATTTTTGCAAGGTAAGGCAGTGTGAGCGTGATTAAGCGTAAGGGCTTACGTTTATTTCGGAACGCATTGTTAGCGAATTGCATATCAACAAACATATCGTCGAATCGAATTATAGACGGAAAAGTTGTAACGATATTCCAATTTCCAGCATTTAACGCAGTGGCTTTCCCTATACATTGAATTTCTCACAAATGGATCTGTACATAATTTAAATATTAAGCAAGGAAAAATTATATACATACACAAATATAAATTAAAAATTGAATAAACGAAATATAGGCTCTTCTGAATAAATCAAATAAAGGGAAGTGAGAGAAGCAATCAGAGCCACGCGCGGTACGTAATGCGCAATCAAAATAAGTCAATAATAAAATATATTAGTTAATACAAATTTGGACGTTTCAACACTTTTTTTGTGTCATTTTCAGCGTAAAAATGAAAATAATATATGAAAATTTCAAACGATAAATTACAGTCAATTGCGATAAAATGAGTCAATCAGTAGAAAAGCGCAGTCAAATCAATAAAATAAAATTCATACGAATGTTCGGTACTCTGTCAGGATATGCAAATGCTCCGAATTGATTGCACCTTCGACGTTTACTCCCAGGTTGGAAGACCAGACCAGGTAGAAAGGAGAGATTCGATTGTCCTTTCTAAACCGTGAATCGGAGTCGCAATATGTTAAAAAACGCAATGTATCAGTATTAAAATTACAATCACGAATTCTTGCTTACGGACCATTACAGACCAGTAAGTCGCAGTGTTAAAATGTATCTGTCGCTCTGACATGTCGTGAGTGAGTGAATAAGCGTTGGTAGAAATCGGAAGGTTAACATAATAAAAGCGGTGTTCGAGTTTAATTGTGGGGATAAAAATTCACAACAAATAACTCTAAATTTTTGATAACCCACCAATAACGTTCAAATAAGTATCCGGTAAACCTTCCGTGTCCATCTGCAAATTCAATCCATTCCTGTCTCTTTATGCACAGCATCTCGGAAATTAAGCGTTTATAAAAATACGATTCATTATCTAGAATTTCCACATTATCCAAATCGAAATTATGATTCAATGCTAATTTATGATCTGTTATAACAGAATGATTAGATATAGGTATTCTAATTTATATATATGGTTCTGGTGTTCCTTAATTCTTGTTTGTAATTGTCTGCTCGTTTGGCCTACATAAGATGCGTCGCAATCATTACAGTTAATTTTATATACTACGTTACATTGTTTAGAACGTGGGAGACTATCCTTATGAGCTTTTATGAAGGTTCGCATTTTGTTTAAGCTATTATACGATAATCTCACTTTTAAATCCCTTGTTATGTTCTTAAATTGTTCTGTTTAAAAAATTTAGAGTTATTCGTTGTGAATTTTTATCCCCACCGCATAGTCGCTTACATTGCCAAAACGAACGACATTTCTTACTATTGTGTAAGCGCTCAGATACCAAATCGAACGATTGAAAACAGCGCTTATAAGCGTGAGCGCTTACAGCGCGTGAGCGTCCAAACCGAACGCACCCTATATAATTATAGCCGTTCTCTCAAGGCGGTCACCCATCCTAGTACAGTACCGCGACCGTGACTTCGATGATCCAGTGAACAGTGGCAATTTTTTGATCCTGACGCTTCCTTATTGACTGTACTTGTCTATAAAAGGTATACATTTTTAAAATGTTCAAAAATCTTGTAATGATATCTTCTTGATACCCAAGGAGCGCCAATGCGCGTACAATTGCATTGGCTTCAAAACTACATTAATTGTGTGTTTAAAATGCGCGCATTTAAATGCGTAATTAATGCAAATTGAGCATTTGATTTATAAATAACAGGTTTTATATAATATTTACATAAATAAGTAGCTTCTTACTCATTATGAAACATTTTATTTAAGTTTTTAAATTTTATATAAATTGAATTTTAAATAAATAGTTTCACTAACTAACTTTGTTCTTACTTCTGCGTTTAAAGCATCAATGTGTAAATGCACGTGTAGACTCTTAATAGATCCCCTATAGGGTAAGCAAGTTGGTGGAGCTTCGGTTGTCCATAGTAAACTCTACACAGATAAAAGAACATTCTTATTTAGAGAATATCTTTAT